TTTTTTTTTTTTTTTTTTTTTTTTTTTTTTGTCATTTTTACTGACCGGTTAACGGGATCGCAACCCTCGGTGTCGCGCCCGTACCGGGGACCAGCAACGGGATCGCAACCCTCGGTGTTGCGTCCGCACCGCGCTCGGGAACAGGTCTCCACATGGGATCCGAACCCTCGACGGGAGCGCAGCCGCACTCCCAAGCGGTGCACTCTCCAGTGCGCCACCGGCTGGCCCTTTAGTGCATTCTTTTAACAGCTGCTTAGCATTCCACAGCATGATTTTGTTTTTAATTGAGATAAATTTATATACAGTGAAATGTAGAGGTATTGAGTGTGCAATTCCATGAGCTGACAAATGCATACACCTGTGGAACCAACGCCCGGTCTGAAGAGAACACGTCCCTCTCTCCAGAATGTTCCTTCTTGATTCCTCCCAGTGCATTTCTCACTGACATGGCCACCATGGTTACAACTGCAACCACCATAGATTCGTTTTATCTCTTTAGAACTTCACAGAAATGAAAACATGCCATTTGTGGCCTTTGTGTCTGGCTACTTTTGCTCAGCAAAGTGCTTTTGAGAGTTGCACAAGTTGTGTACATCAGCAGTTCTCTGGCTTTTTACTGTCATGTACGATTCCATTGTGAGGATATTCCACATCCATTTTCCAGATGATGGACACCGGGTGTTTCCAGTGTAAGGCTGTTACAAAAAAAGATGCTATGAACATTCTTGTGAAAGTCTCTGTTTTCATCACTCTTGGGTAAATAACTGTGTAACTGCAGAGTTACAGGGTAGGTATGAATCTATACGAAACTGCCAAGTAGTTCTCCAAAGCGGTAATGCTGTTTTTATCCAGCAAAGCATGAGCATTCCACTTGCTCCATATTCTCACCTGCATTTGCTGTTGTGAGTCTTTTAGCGCTAGCCATTCTGATGAGTGTCAAGTAGCATTTCATTGTGGCTTAATTTTATTTTCTGGATGCATCCTTTCAAACTGGCCATCCGTGTAGCTTCATTGGTAAAGTGTCTATGACCCATTTTTCATCTGAGCTGTTCATGTTGTTATTGATTTGTAGAAGCTCTTTATATATTTTTGGTAAAAATCCTTTGTCAGGTATAGCATTGCAAATATTTTCCCCCAGTTTATGGTTTCTCTTTATTTTCTTAATTATGTATTTTGATGAAGTCCAATTTATCAATTTCTTTCTCTTGTGTTTAGCATTTTTTGTGTGTTCTCTCTAAAAAAATAAAAATCTTTGTACCAAGGTTGCAAATATATTTGCCTGTGCTTGCTTCTGAAACTTCGAGCCTTACATTAGGGTCAGCAAACCACCTTGAGTTAGATTTTGCGGGAGATAAGAGGGAGCTTCTCCCCTTTCCTTGTGTTTATCCAGTTGTCACAGCACCATTTGTTGAGCAGACTTTCCGTACTGGATTGTCCTGGAGTTCTTGTGTCTGTACAGTCAGCTTACTAGACTGTGTGCTTGTGCATCAAGACCCTGCATTTTGTTCCAATGAACTACTTATCTACTCTTATGCCACATTCTACAGTCTTAGGCACCATTTGTTGAGCAGACTTTCCGTACTGGATTGTCCTGGAGTTCTTGTGTCTGTACAGTCAGCTTACTAGACTGTGTGCTTGTGCATCGAGACCCTGCATTTTGTTCCAATGAAC